CTGAGCCCGAGCCCAGCGGCCCCAGCAGCCAGGGCGCTGCTGTCCCCATTCGCGATGGGGAGAGGCGTCTCCTGCACCCAGTGCAGCCCTGGGCGGTCTCGTTAGTGCCGCAGCCGGGTGCCTCTCGTTTCATCCTCTGGCCGATGCAACGGCCCCCAAAGCGACAACCCCCAGCACCGAGCAAAGTGTCAACCCTGGGGCGAAGATGCCAGGAGCAAGGCCACCCCTCATGGTGGCACCTCCGTCCACCTGCTCCAGGGTGGGGGGATTCGTGCTGTAGGTGATGCCGAGGGTCCATCCCCACGTGTCCTTGGGTGTCATGGGATGACACCATGGTGCCGAGGAGAAATCCTGCTCCTGGTCCCTCCTCGCTGGGCTTGGAGGGGGCACCGGGGAAAACAACGCTGGGGTTTTCTTTTAATTAAAAAAAAAAGGAGAGAGAGAGAGAGAGAGAGAAAGAGAGAGAGAGAGGAAAGCATACCAATCCTGCTCTGGTTTTTAAGGTCATTTTCAGTAAATATGGTTTTAACTTAAAAAAAAAAAAAAGCAAAAGCCTCATTAAATGCCTCTGTTTTCAGTTCTTAGCTTATTAAAAGCTGTAAAAATCTCATCCAGACACTTCTGGGCAGAAAAGTCGCTTTTTTGTTGCAGACCGAAGAGGCCCTGACGGTCCCCTGCCACCGTCTCGCGCGTTGCCGCAGCAGAACGCCAGCCCCGACCTGCGTTTCCGCCAGCTGGCCAGGACGCGGGGGCCTTCTCAAGGCTGAAATCTACGCGGGGGCCTTCTCGAGGCTGAAATCTCACGGGCGGCCTCAGCTTTCGCTCGAGGGACGCGGCAGAGGGGCCACCCCGGCCACCGCTCACCGGAGCTGGGAGCCGAAACCCGGTGGATGGGTCTGGGGAGGAGCTGTCGGGGAGGATGGACGAGTGCTGGCGGAGAGTGTTGCACCCGGAACACATGCTCCCAAAGGGGACGGCGGGGGCTCAGCCCGGAGCCTGCTCCCAAGCCGGCGTCGGTGGTCCTCAGCCTTTGCGGAGAGACGGCATCATGGTCGCGGAGTCTCCCCGCGTGGGAACCGAAGCACCAGGGGCAAACGCAACGCCCAGGGGTTTTCCCTACTCTCCCACTGCCGCCTGCAGTGTTTAAAAGGGGCAATTTAGAGGAGAAATGTGTTTTCTGAGCCAGATTTGGGGTAAAAATTGTGTGTGAAAGGAAAAACGCCAGTGAGGTGCAATCAGAGATGCTGGGATACAGGGGAAACTGAGGAAGGGCCCCGCAGGCACGCTGCTCCCCAGCAAGCAGCTCAGCTCAGAGCTGGCGCTACAGGAGCCTGGGACAAAACCATTTTATGGCTGGTTTTGCAGCCAGCAGCCA